AGTTATTCATCACCAGATAAAAGTACACGCCAAAATCCATCTTTTTCAATGAATAACTCAAAATTGTCATTTTTCGAGATATGACACTATTGTATCAATGCCGCGATATATAAAAATTTATATTAAAATTATATAAAATTTTTATATATGTAAATTAAAAAGATCTATACGTTTAAATCTAGAATTCTCTTGTGCCTCTAGATTTAATATATATTTTTGGCTGTCGCCAGTTTTACTCACCACTTACAGATACTAGTGCCCTGTATTGCTAAATCTGCTGAATCTGTCGAATCGACTTTTGCAGGTGCAGTTCTTCCTGGTGTTCGTGCATAGCGCGCAGGCCCTCATCTTCGATTGCGGCTATCCGAAACTGATCGCGGCCCTCCTGCTACTTCACGCGACGATCTTCTTCGTGCTCTTCTCCGACTTTTACAGGTCCGCTTACCGCAGAGGAAAGTCCGCGAAGGAACTCAAGGCTGAATAGAACACACGAAGGAACACACATAACGAAAGGGAAAATCTTCGTCCCCGAGACGACGTACGAAACACGCGCAATACACACGTACACACATGTCGCGTCGAAACTGTGACTCCTTTCTACACCGGTGAACTTTTAAACGCTCGTTATAATGTATCAACAGATGAGGAACTTATTAAGCGATCGTACATACTTGAAAATGTCAATTGTCAGCGGAAGACGTGCGAGGGGAATAAATGTTTAAATACGCGTGGTTCTGTACGATCGCGAATGTCGCGGAATTTCTGATATATTCCGAACACGGCGGTATTATTGAAAGGTCGATGCAACAGTAGAATTACGCGGCAGCGCCGAGCAAAAACATTGTGCCGACAATATAATTTATGATTCTTATACAATGAAATAACGATTATAAAGAAATGCAAGTAGCGTATAGTAGGGGAAAATCTCGTAGCAAAGAAAACGGATAAATGGGGAAAAGAAGGGTCAGTCGGTCAACGGGTTAATGCTATATTGTATTTCTTATCTGTTTGGCAAGGCGATACGACGAAAAAGTCTGCGAGACACGGGAAGGACTGGCCATTAGAAATATAGTAAATTATAGAAATACCTTTACGCCGGGCGGCGATCGAGTGTGAAATGTGATTGTTTGGTTTCGCTTTTGCGATAGTGATAAATTTGTATCAGGCTGCCGATATACACGAGAACGTCGCGTCTGAAAAGCCCCCCCGATACGCGATCGAGGTCAAAACGTTTCACTGGTGCGGAGCATGGAGATTGCTTCCGTGAGGAAGAGGATTCTTATTTCGTTACACCCTCCCCGAGCGTATGTATCTTCCGCAGGATATCTCAGGTCTCGCGAGCGCACCCTTGGATTAATTTAAATGTGTCGCCTCTATTTTAATCGATCTCTAATTTATATTGTTCTTTACGAGCTTAAGAAAAATGTCACGAGGAATAAGTAAAATAAATGGTAAATGTAACTTTTCCCTTTTTGAGAACATAAAATCTGGAAGAATCCTATCGCATCTTTGAAGATGCGATAAACACGAGAAGGAACGCAGAGACGAAACGAAGCAATAATAAATTGTATACGAGTTGAAATTTATGTGATTATAATTACAGTTAGAAAAATACTCTGCCGTATTAATCGATTTTGAAAAATTGTGCAATTAAAAATTATGTTCGATATTTATAATTTTTAGAATTTAAACAGTGTAAGATAATCAAAATTCTGAAAATTTTTTTTCACACGCGCGATATTTTGCACAATTTCGAAATAATTCTGGTGCCAGTTAATTAGTGTAAAAAGGAAAAGAAATATATCCGAGAGACTCATCTTTGCATACTTATATTTAAAGCAATCAAGAAGCACACTGCAACTTTTCAATTCGAGAAACGTGAAGCAATTGGGAAACGTGCAATATATATGTTCAATGCTGAAAAACTCTCGGATATACCGCAGTGCGGTATGGATCACGGACAGGCCCCTACCAATAAATTTACATCGAGAAATAGCTGGATTGCGCAAACAAATTTATATGTCCATATCAATGATGCATTTTTATAATACAAATCCAATCTTTTCGAAGAACGTCTCACGACTTACCGCAGCGAGCTACTACGAACGAACGGAGTTTACAGCATGTCGCGTACTAAACATATATATATATGAATACCTCAAATTATTTTTAATCTATATTTAACCAGATTTTATTGCTTCGTTTCGTCTTGTTGAAACTCACCATTCTGTGAGGCACAGAGAGGCGATATACATATGGAAGTGTATTTATTGTTTGGCATAACGGTGAGGATTGTTCCGCGAGACCACGCCGAATGTTTCACCACTTGTTCTTACTTCCACGGGGATTTTTACATGCAGCGTAGACGCGAGATGACGAGTGTCGAGTAGCGGAGGCGGTAGAACCGGCGCGGACGCACGGTCCGACGCCGTCGGAGAGGACCCGCGGAGTTGCGGCACGTCCGCGCGGCGCTTCCCGTTTTATCGATTCCCCTCGGTGAAGCTGCGCAGGCCACACTCGCGAGGAGCGCGCGACATATCGCGGAACGCCGCGAACAATGCCGGAGACTACGAGACGACGGCCCGAGGGGCGGTCGCGCGACGAGACCTCTCGAGAAACTAACCGTTGTACGATAGGGATGATAAGTTATTAAAAGTCTCTCGGACGCGAGACAATAATCTTAGGGTCACGGCGTACACCGGTCGCGCGTGCACCGTCTTGTACATATTGTATCTCCCATTTTGTAACGATGAATAAAATATTAATTAAAATGTTGATCCTGAACTATTCTGCGCGCGCCTGCAAATTAATTTATTCCAATTCGACAGGGAGGTTTGCTGTTGAAGTGTGATTTGAGGTAAAAATAATTTCATGTGAAGTTGGTTTCTGAAATCGACAAAAATCTGCTCGCCCGTATAAAGGTATATGGATATAATTATAACATAAATTATTAAAAATGTATTTTTTAAATATAGACCGTAAAGCATCTCGCATTTTTCTTAACAAAAGTGATTTCCAGCAATTCAATCTTAGCATTGAACTTTACACTAATCTAACATCTAATTTTACATTTGATCTATTGATCGAACTGTCGAGGATCATCACTGCGTTTATCTTATCGTTTCATAAAGTTGAAAATTTATTGTTAAATACATTTTTTATTGATATATGTACAGTAACGGGACACAATTTCACCTTTACATATGTGCAACCTAAGTTATCGACACGACGATGAGCAAAACTTATCGAAACTCTATGGACTTTCACGCTGTCGCAGCTTGCGCTCTTGTTTGTATCCTCTTTTGTCTTTCCAGAAGACGACGTTCCCTTTCGAATTCCTTCATTCTCAAAACGTAACTGTAACAGATACAATATATTCTTATCAATGTACCACAAAAAACATTCGTGTAACGATACAGCCATAAGATTCGACAACAAGATAAGATACTTACTCTTCAACGTAGCACTCGTTATATTGGTGTCTCTCGTGCGCGCACTTCAACATGAAAGGATAATGACGTCTCTTGCACTCATGTAATTCCAAGTACTTGTGGGCGCAATAATCGCGTTTGTCCTTAGGGATCTTGTAAGCCATCATGTCTTCCTCCGACAACGGCATCTCTGTAAATTCGGCACGCTAAGCAGAGTCTGGACTTGACCAGTATATCTGCTGATGTCTAATTAAACAGCGAATTCAATTGAATGCACTGATGCACTGCATTTATTAATGCCGTTATTCTTTGTCAGAATTATAAATCATAAATTAGTTTTCCAAATTAGACTTTGCGAATGCAAAGATGTATTCATATATTTCGTATCTATCAAATTTGTTAAAAGCGTGACTCAAACTTTTACTTTTCGCTCCTCAAATTCATGTACTTACAGAACACGAGTATACAAAGGAAGATTCAGCGATAAGAAGACAAGTTGCTTCGAAAAATATACACTGTGCTAATCCTAATGTGAAAGTGAAATATTTCGAATAATAAAATGCTCCATATATATTTCACCAAATAATACAATAAAGTACTATTAAGGATTTCGCGGTGTAATCGTGTCTATATTTATATTAAACACACGTCTTTACGTTGATGTGTGTACAACAGTTTTAATTTATATTTTTAACGATACATTGCTTGATGTGCATACTGAGTGCGCACTAGTGCAACCAACCAAATTTGCTAAAAATTTATGTAAAACTTGCATCATAAACAGCTGTTGCTGTCCACAGGTAATTCTTCAGGTAAATGATACAGGCATTCGAAGCGTAAATATACTCTAATTTTCCAAATTATGCTTAATGATAAAACAACAAAACAACATCATACTGTAAATCAATCGAGTAAAATAATTTTCTGCTGAATTAATTGACTACAAGTACAGTCATATAAAAACATTAGAATTTTTAACTTACTTTTCACGCAAAAAATCATTCGAGAATAGAACATATATTCGCAAGTGAGCCTCTTTGCGGCAAAATTATCATTAATATTTCATATATTTAGTAAACAAAACATTAGCAGCGTGCTAGTAATATTCGTTAGCAATATTCGAGCAGAATATCATGACAAATCGGCATTAATTGCATTAAACTGATTAAACTTATGTTCTACCAGCAGAGCTAGCTGTTGGTAGACGGCCTGCCGATGTAAATCTGACAACAGATCAGCAGATTTCGTTCAGTATTTTCAATCTGCCACCATATTCTGCCAACAGATTCTGTTACTATTCCTGCTGGCATTTTGTCAACAAAATTTGTACCAAACATTTTTATAATAATACAAAGTCTGTTTCGATTTCGATTGTTTAGAAGGTACTTAACTGTGGAGGCAGACGTAAAGGCGATTATAAAAACACTTGTAATTAAATGGCCAGTGAAATTGTCAATCTCAAGATTATGTCACACGATGTTTCGAACAAAAAGATCTGTCGGAATTAGATGACAATTTGTAAAACTCCAGTGGTGCACGCGTTTCATATCCAGACGATCACAAATACAAAGTGCAAAATTGATAACAAGATACTGCGCGGTGGAAACACGAATACGAGGTTAGATTCGAATATACTTGCCTCTAATTTTTCGACCTTTGGGAAATCCGTACATAGGATCGAACATCGGTTTACCGTCGGACTTGGGCATCGTGTCGGGATGTGTTATGTAGGTAGCGACGTAATTACCCATTATTTTCAAGTTATATCCACAGCGAGGCGAGCAATCGAGAGAAAAGCGCACCTTCGGATCGCGCTCAGCGCTGACATCTACTTGTTCACCGATCTAACTTATGTAACGTGTACCGCACGCACACAGAGATAAATTGCACCGACCATTTCAAGCAATTGTTTATTGTATGCATTATTAAACTGGTGAATCAAGAATTTGGGAATTCTACGTTCGAACATTATCAAAATTATAAATAGAGAAAAACGATTGAGGATGGATGTTGGTGCCTAATATATTTTAATTTTTATTTTCAAATTTCAACTATACTCCATCAAAATTATAAATCATGTAAATTAGATTTTTTTAAACTGGACTTCGCGGATGCAAAGATATATTTATATATTTCATATTTATAATTTTCGATCCTCAGATTCATGTACAAAGCACGCAGTGTACAAAAGGAAGATTCAGTGATAAGAAGACAAGTCGCTTCAAAAAATTCTTTATTGACTTTGCTGAAATAAACATATCAATATATTAATAACGTTTCAGTGTAATAATGAGGAGTAATTATGAAAATCGCTTCCAGGCTATTCTCCATATTTTATTTTTACAAAAAAAGCAATATCTGCATTTTACTTTAAAGGTAATGGTGGTAGCTCCGTGTAGTATACAACTCTTTTTCAGCATCATATATATATTTATATATGTACTATTTTCACGCCCTTCCTCCCGTCAAGCTGAATACTTACAACAGGGAATTTATTTCGGACTTAAAAAATGATAATTTAATCGTCATCCTCTTCCATAGGCTCCGCAGCTCCACTACCTGGAATACAATATAAATTCCAACATTATATAATAAAATCCAATTTAATAATCGTTTCCAATATGTTTAAGAAGAGTATGTACATATGCGCACAGGGTGTTGAAAAAAAGTCGAGATGGTGAAATTAATTATTCGGAAGAGACGTTTTTCAAAAAAAATGTTTCAAACGCAAGTTATAGGGTTTAAACAGATCTATTTACTGATCTTATCGGTTTGACCTCAAGAGGTTCGTACACCCTTCCTTCCATTTAGTTTTTTCGTTCGCGTTTTTTCCAAACGTGGAAATTTTATTTCCTTCATGTGCTTCGAAGAAAAAAAACGAGGCGACAAAAAAAGAGACGTCAATAACTCGGTTAGTGATTGCGCAATGACCCGCGCGGCTCTCGCTCGTGATCATAATATATCCAGTCGTGTAACACGCGTGTATGTTTTCTGCCACAAGTTACAATGACTTTCTTCCCTCATCCGGAAGGACAGGAAGAATGTGCAAACAAAAATTCTTACGCTACGTTTGTGTATGATATTTTTCGGACACCCTGTATGCGGAAAGCGCACACAAGCTCGCGTACCATTTTGCAATCGCTCCTCGCCGGGTATGTGACCGGCCTGCAGCAGTTTACTGAGCCTCTGCACCTCCTCCAGGGAAGACGCGTTCGTAATGGCCTCGCGAATTTTGTTGCGCTCCTCGGGCGTGGTCAAGGGCTTGTCCGCCGCCGCGCCCGTCGTCTGCGCCTTGACCTTCTTCGCTATCTCGCGCGCCATCTCCTTGCCGCGCTTGCTCCTGAAGTATTCCGTCGCCGCCTCGCGCTCCGCCTGCTTGATCTTCCGAAAGTCGAGCAGCCTGAGCTGCGGAAACCTGTAGACGATGTACTGCCTGTACTGCGGCTTGGCGGACACCGGGTTCTGCAGCAGGCACAGGTTCGTGAGGTTCTTCAGCGGTATCAGCGGCTCCAGGTCGCCCAGCTCCTGTATCATGTTGCCGGTCAGCATCAGCGTGTGCAGGTTGGGTATGCACTGCTCCAGCCCGTCGCCGATCCTGACGATGCGATTGTTGTTGAAGAACAGGGTCTTTATCCTGTTCAACAGCGGAAAGCCGTCCAGCTTGCGTATGTCGTTGTCGGAGAAGTCTATCGTGTCAAATTGATCCTATAGAAAGCAATGCGGTGTAAACGTGACAATCGACTACTGCGTGTACATATATTCGCACTCTCTAAAGGCATTGAGGTAAGATTCGCCGTTTCCTCCCGACGAGGTGTGTGTACCTACCAAGGTCGCGCCCAGATTCTCAATAGTGGGTATCTTATATCCTGCAACATAAAAACGAGAATAATGGACGATACATGTAGCGACAACAAAAGCTTTTCGTACGCGCGGTTCTCCTTTACAAACCTCGGAGATCTAATTCGCGATCTCGCACCGGATTAATGTACTGCATCGACTGCTCGATGAGCTCCGGCGTCAATTTCACCATCGCGAGCGGATTGCTGGTCGAATCCCCAGTATCCTCACTGTTCTTATAACGATCTCTTTTTCAAATGAACAGCACGACCGGGACTTGTCGCCTCGCTTCTCGTGCTCCTCGCGTCGCAGGCGTCGGAGCAATTGTGAAAATGAGGTTAAAACGCCAACAGCGGTAAACTAGCGACGCCAACAATCGAAGCGAGGAAACTGTTTCGAAACGTTTGCCGATATTAGGTAATAATTCCTTATCTGCTGTATGTACATACATACATACATACATATAAGTGTACTCTTCGGAAAAATTTAATTACTATATTATACATATTATTTTGCAATTAATTGAAACATAATTTCAGTAGATATTTCTGCATTTAACATCAAAGAAAATAATAAGCAAGATTTTGATATAAGGCTGATAATAAAATATCAACCATAATTCCACATTCCATCCATTCTTGTAAGTTTCTGGTAAATAATTTAATTTCAACTAAACTCTCCGATTAATTATATAAAATTAGCGATTAAATCCAATCAGTAAAATTTCTAAATATAGAATTCTTAATTGTTTCTGATCTAATGATCGTTGTTAAAGTTATTTAGTAATTTGAGTATTATATTTAGAAAATATAATATAATTAATAGAGATTACTTTTGATAAAGTTAATCGCCGAGCACTTTAATCGGCATTGATTAATTTAATCGGCAATTAATTCAATTGATACAGAATTACATAAAGCAATTCTAATAATACATACAATATGCATCAGGGATTAGAATTAGTCACTCGTTAATTAATGAGTTAACAGTAACGCGCGCCGTTACCGTTACAGTTACTTTTTTTGGTAATGGATTATTGGAAACGACGTTATTTTATTTTTTTGGTAACTGTAACGGTAGTTACATTTTTTCGGTAATGGTAATGAATTATATACAATTACTTTTATCGTTACTTCTTATACTTTGAACTTTTTGCATTTATGACAAAATTTTCATATGTATATTCAATCTTCATATTTTAGCATAGTATTCACATAGTTTACTTTTATTTTAAGACTGTTTTAAATAAGGTCTTAAAATATTAATATGACTCTGTGATTGGTTTATGACATTTTAAGAATTCCATAAGTCAATTCATATCACAAATTAAATTGAGTACTTTAATAAGTACAAGTATTTTAATAAGATATTTTTACTTTATATATGCATCTTAAAATACTTTAAAAAATTTATTGTAAAAAATATCAGCTAAATTGTGTTTCAAAATCGAAAATTTAATTGGCGCGTAGTTTGTAAAATTGGATATGTATATATAAATTTATTTCGAAATATTAAGCACTAAGCTGGAAGCTCTAGCTCATATCAAAAAGGCTTTCATCTTCCTAGTTGTATTTTTATATATCGGTCTAGTGTCATTGTTGTATTGCTTTTATTAATATTAAAACAAAAATTGCATCTTAAATTTAGATTGATCTTGTTTCAGCATTAAAAAAGTAACGGAAAAGTAATGAATCTTTATTTTTTTAAGTAGGTACACGGAAAAAACAATTTTGCTGAATCCAGATCTGAAAATAATTTTTGTTCAGTAGTCAAAATTATTTTGTACAAAAGTCAAAATGATTGCTAGAATATCAAAATATTTTATAGCAATACTTA